ATCAAGAAACAAAGATACAAGGGACTTGAATAACTTTACCAAAGATTGCTTTAACTTACTTAATTAAGTCGTCTTCTCAGCTAAACACTTTCCACAGTCCTGTACTTCTGTTATTTTGTATCTGCGTCCCAAGCAGCAGACTTTAAATTTATTTTTATTGTAGCATCTTTTTAAGTTTGATTTAAAGCCTGTGAGGTCTTTCAATTCCAGAGTCTGTCATCCACACTGTATGCTAATCAGATTTGTAGATAATATGACTTTTGAGGTTATTATTCTAGTCATTAACACAGTTAGTTACTAAACTAGACCAGGTAGGAGAGAGAGCCAACTAGAAACCTTTCCTTAACAAGGCCTCCATAGGACTGACTCTTGAAGTTAATTAACAAACCAAGTCTGATTGTTAAATAAAAACTGTATTACTAACTGGTAAGTCTTTTGACACAGCTTCTTAAATTTTCACTGAGATTTGTAACAACTCTCCAAATAATAGGAATGAATCGCATGCTTCCGATGAGAGAGCGTTCCAAAACAGAGGAAGACATTCTCCGAGCAGCACTTAAGTACAGCAGCAAGAAGACTGGAAGTAACCCTACATCAGCCTCTGAGGATTCCAATGGGCTGGAGTGGGAGAATGATTTTGTTAGTGCCGAAATGGACGGCAATGGCAATTCTGAGTATTCTGGATTTGTAAATCCTGTATTAGAACTGTCTGATTCTGGCATAAAGCAATCTGATGCAGATCAACAGAAACGATAGGGTAAAATCGTGTGACCCGGTTTATCAGTTGTGACCAAATTTTAAAAACCAACTAGAATGTATAGATGGTTGTGCTGAGCCGTTTTGTAAGAGGGAGATAAGAAACCATGTTGTAAATGCTTATTAGAAAGGAATAGAAATGATAGGCTATATCTGAGTTGCTTCAGAATTAAGTGCAATTTCATCATCTGCCTTCTGCTTTTCAAAAACAATTTAATGGTTCTGTCATGTTATTAGATTTATTTTAACTCATCTTTATAGCATTCCTGTTTACTATTTGTAGATTTTCACTTTTAAAAATAGTTTCATTAATTTTACTTTGAATGCTTCTCAAACCTATTTCAGTAGGTCTCTGTGAAAATATTAGGGCATTTTGTGTTAATTCTCAGCAGATGTGAAGGGAGCATGAGGAGGGACTGCCAGATCAGATATATAATAGTGTTCCCATTTCCAGCATTATTTACTCCTATGACTTACTTAAATTTTATTATCTAATAGTAAGCACAATTGAGTAGATGACCCTAAGGAAATGCTGAAGTATCCGTTTCTTTCTACACTTACTGCATATCCTAGTATAATAATGCTGATTCAGTCTGAACAAAGGATAATATGTTACAATAAACTCTCAGAGTTTGGACACTTGAAGCTGGTAATCAAAAATAATATTGAAGAAAAAATATATATTTAGGTTTTTCTCTTCCTTTTACATGCTGCCAGTATAAATGAATATTGACTTTAAGTTAATTGATATATTAAATTTCTAAGTGTCATTTTTTAAAAATTCTATATTTCCAATGAATGGTCTTAGAAAGATTTTACACAGGACATATTCTCTGTGCATGATTTATTAAGAAGGGAAAACCTAAAAAGGCAATACGGGTATTTCAAAGTAAAATCCTTTCTGGTGTGAAAGGATCCATTGATTTTATTGAGCTTTCCTTTGCCTTGTAATACAAGGTGCTTTAATGGGATGGAACTAAGCATATCAGCATATAAAAATGCATTTTGTTTTATGCATTGAGCTCTTCTTTTCCCCAAAGTTTATGTATCAACTTGAAAGGCCAAGGATATAAGCACTCCCTAATTGCTTGTCTTAATTTTGCTGAGGATTGAGTATGATTTTAGTAAGCAGACTGTTTTCTGATTTTTCCTTGGTGTGTTTTTTTTTTTTTTTCCTTGCAGCAATGACAGTGCATGTTCTCAAAAATATAGGAAGGTCCAGATATAAATAGTAACTTAAAGTTCTCGCTGTACTTAAAACAAAATCATGTGGCCCTTTCAATATTTGAACTGCTAGGCAATGACATCTATAGCTTCATCTTTTTTAATCTCATAGAAATAAATATGATACTTTAAATATGTAAATATATTAGGTAATGCTGTTATTTATGATTGTCTGAACATAATTTAAGTTGTAGCTTTGTCACTGGAAATATTTTAAAAGTAATCTATATTCACATTGCCTGTGTTACGCTTTTTAAAGTTTGTATACATCAGATGTATATTTTTGGTTTGGCATAAGCTACTATTGTAATTTTTCTTGGCATTTTGTTCATAAAAAATTTTTTGAAGGAATGGTAACTTCTCAAGGATTGTGAATAAACACATTTTTACATTTAAAAATAATAAATTATTTGATTATTACTAGTTTTACTCTATAAAAATGCAATAATTCCGACTCCTAGGGCATAATTATTTTACTAAATCTGCTGTGAAGACAAAAAGGAGTGAATTAGGAAAGCAGGGTGGAACTACATTTTAAAATGTTTGTTTTAACTGCTAAGAAGAGGATATAAATTTTCTTGTTTTATATATTTATAAAAAACACTAGAAATAGCATTTATTTATTCAGCAGATATTAGAGAATCTGTGTCTGATAGGGTATTAGGGATATCGTGGTAAAAAGACATAAAATGTCCAAGCTCTTTTGCCTACATCCTGATGAGAGAGACAAGACAGTAACAAGTAAACATCTAAACAAGAAAACCACAGATCACAATTAGGAAACATACAAGAGGAGAGGATGCAGGATAGCTGGAGACGAGCGGATTACTTTTGGTAGGTCAAGCAAGCCTTCTCTGAGGAGAGGACATTTGAGCTGAGACCTAATTGCTGAGCAGGAACCAGCCCGTGTAAAAAGCCTGGTGACACAGGTTATAAGCAAAAGGAAGAGCAAATATAAAGTTCCTGAGATGAAGGAGAATGTTTGGCATGTTCTGAGAATGAAAAGACCACTGGGACTGAAGCATTGTGAGGTAGAGTAATATGAGATGATATCTGAGGGGTATTTAGGGCCAGATCATGTAAGGCCTTATAGACTATGGTTAAGAATTCATTTTATTTGATGTATAAAGCCACTGACTTTTTGTAAGCTAGAGTGTAGAGTGATCAGAGTTGCATTTTTGAAAAATTCCTCTAGCTGCTGTATAGAGAATGGGTTACAAGAGGGCAAGAGTGATACTTGCAATGGGACATGGTGTGACTTGGGTTGATAGTGATGATACCAATGCAGAGCTGATAAACTTTAGAGGAAGAATTAACAAGATTTTCTAATGGGTTAGATATGGGGGCCAAAAAGGAGTGGGATCCAAGATAACTGTAGGATAATGCTTCCAGCACGGTGATCTGGTGACCTTGCTCACTGCATATCTACCTAGCAACACTCAACCCCAGTCCAGCCTGTCTTGACAAAGCCTTATGATCCTTCCTGGAACATGGCAAGATAGGCAGTCTTAGAGGAGCTGTGACAAAGCCATTTATCATCTGCTTCCCTGTCTTGCAGAAGGCCGCGATGAGGCAATTTCTCACCCAACTCCTTGGTTCTAGTGAAGCATGGGATTTTCACCCCACCCCTATTCACTACAGATGTAGGCTAATAAAACTGTTTGGCTGGAGTTCATTAGAGACGGCTTTTTCAACAACAGAGCCACCCTCCATTTATGTGTCATTTAGCCTCTGGGGTCCAGTGTCCTACGGACATCCGTAGGGACCAGGGATGTGGGACACTGACTCCATGCTGATCTTCCTTTTGCTATCTGTGTAAGTAATAGACTAAGTCTATTTGAGCTCATTGTCTCCCTGCTGGCTAAATCTATGGAAGTGTGACAGCCAACCTAAGAGCTGCAACTATGCTTGTCAATAGTTTTTTGGTTTCTAACTTAATGAATGCAGTGGCAGGAACAGATTTAGGAAAGTGGAGGAAATTAAGAGTTCTGTTTTGGGAAATTAAATTTGAGATGTTTATGAGAAATCTGAATGAAGGTCTCAAGAAGGTGATGGGATATATGTCTGCAGCTCAGAGACGAAGAGGTCAAGGTACAAGTTTAGGAGTCATTAGTAGGTAAATGGTATTTGAAGTCATTACACTAGGTAAGATCACCCTGGGGAAGCATATAGGCAGAGAAGCCCAACTATTGATATTTAGAGAACAGGGGTAGAAAAACAGCCATCAGAAGCAAACACAAGAATACAGGAAACCAAAGAATGTGGTGTCACAGGAACTACTAGTGGCCGTGTGCCACCATGTGAAGTGAGGAAGATGAGAATTGGAGCCAATAGGCACTGAGGGGCAGATGGTGGTGACTTAATCCCCAGCCACAGCCTCCTCTGCCTGAGGCCTACAGCACTCCTCCCTTACAGCAAGCAGTCTAAGAACAGTTCTGTCTTCAGAAAGAATTTCAAAAACATTTCAAACATTTCAAAAAAATGTTTAGAATTAAACTTAGACCTTGTTTTTTGGAGAGAGAGAGAGAAAGAATGGAGGAGGGGCAGAGGGTGAGAGAATTTTAAACAGGCTCCACACTCAGTGCAGAGCCCGACACGGGGCTCAACCTCGTGACCGTGATAATCTTGACCTTGAAATTAAGATCAGATGCTTAACTGAGGAATCGATTAGGTGCCCCTAAACTTCAACTTTATTATGTGCATGGATGCTGTTAAAATTTTGAATTCATGCAATTTAAAAGTGTGTAGTAGAGACGCCTGGGTGGCTCAGTCGGTTGAGCGTCCGACTTCGGGTCAGGTCATGATCTCGCGGTTTGTGAGTTCGAGCCCCACTTCGGGCTCTGTGCTGACAGCTCAGAGCCTGGAGCCTGCTTCAGATTCTGTGTCTCCCTCTCTCTCTGCTCCTCCCCGGCTCATGCTCAGTCTCTCTCTCTCAATAATGAATAAATGTTAAAAAAAAATTTTTTTAAAGTGTGTAGTACATAAAAATCAATGTAATATTTGGTAAGAAAACAAAAAAATTCTAAACATAGCAATGGTTTATTAAAATGTCTAAAATATTGGTTTTAGATATGAATATAGATACGGAGAACTACTTTTGGAAATAAACACCACAATTCTACAAAAAGGAAATCATAGAAAAGGTATTATTGCTCAAATAAGGCTTCCTATAATAAAACCACAATGACGCATAGACACTGCTCCAAAACACATCATGCTGTGTTGCAGTACTCTAGCACTGCAAGTACCAACAGGCTACACCACCAGGAGCAACTCAACCATGGCCTTGACATTGAAAACAAAGAGCCGCTTGTGAAATAATATGACCAAACTAAGAGGTGTTTCCTTGCAAAACATAGGGCTAAAATCAAGCATAAAAAGAAAATAATATAACTATTTTGAGAACACTATTCCTTCATCACCAAGGATGCTTTTTGTACATTAATGTTCACAGAGGTACACTTAAATACACTTAAGAATTCTTCATACATCTAGGAATGCAACAGACTAAATCAATGACTAATATAATTTACAGACTTCAAAATGATAAGAGATCCCAAATTTAATAACAGATAACACTAATATACTAATAAACTGTGAAATATCTATAAAATGTCTACAGATTTCTTCATCCTTCACGATTCTCCTCTTAGCCCTCTGTGTTCACAATTCATTTTCATCCATTTCTGTAGGAAAAGTGTTTTGGGTAGAATAGGATGAGTAACAGCCATCCTCAGGTATGGGCTTCTGTAGTGGCCAGTTGTTTTCTTGCAAGAGTGATGTTGGAGACAAAATAAATTGAGTCTCAAAAAATTCTAATGACTCTCCATCTTCCTTCTCTATCAGGAGTTGATAGTCACCAAATCTGACCATGCACTTGTCAGGCAGGTCTATTTTATTTAAGTAGCACAGCTCCTTGTTGTCCACAAGCAGACTGGTCTTCTTACTCATATTTTTTATTTCAAAAGAGAGAACTGAACTATCAAACTTTTTAAACAGCTGCAGAGAAAACTGAACTCGGGAAACTTGTTTGTCCTGAAAGGTATAATGACAGATACTGGAATTTCGGCCAAATTTCACCACTTCACTGGAGGGAAGTTTTTCTCGGTTATAAAACCTTATGGATTGGAATATTCCACTTTGCAGCTGGACAGGATGGTAAACAGTTATCTGGAGACAAGTTATTGTCTCTTCCGTGTCAGCATCTTCAAAATTGGACATGATGTGTCTCAGAATCTGACCTGCCTGCAACAATCAAAACAGCATGTTAGTTCACTCCTATACTTCAGGCATTGATATCTTTAATTCTAATATTTTGATGAAAATCTTCTGATAGGTCATTTATTTAGACTTTAAATTAAGAAGACAATACAGGGGCACCTGGGTGGCTTAGTCAGTTAAGCGTCTGACTTTGGCTCAGGTCTCTATCTCAGGGCACGTGAGTTCGAGCCCACATCAGGCGCCACACTGATGGTTCAGAAACTGCTTGGGATTCTCTCTCTCTCTTCCTCTTTCTCTGCCCCTTCTGTGCACTATCTCTCTCTCTCTCTCTCTCAAAATAAATAAATAAACCAAAAAAAAAAAAAAGATGAATACATAGAATACTTTCAATTATCTAGCACAAATGTGAAAATTTTCACCAAGCCCCATGAGATCTGGTGTATTACTTTTTCTATCTCTATTTTTCATTTCTAGTTTGACAACAAGACCATACATACAGTCTAGACAATAACAAGGAATGCCTGCTGATAATAAAGTGATTTGGCAGGAGCAAAAAGAAACTTCAGTTCCTTTCTCATTTAAATAGAATGACTTGGGCTCAGAGAAAATATGACAGCTGTACATTAAAATCGGGAATAAATAATCCCTTTGCTTTAAATGCCTTCGGAGAATATACACATAAAGAAAACCTACAGTTTATTAACAAAATTATAATTAGATGTATTATGAATTGTAAAACCTGATTAAAGAAATTTAAAAGTTATGAACAAATAATTCCAACATTTATCCCTTAACATCGTCACTTAGATTTCTAGTAGGAAAAGGGTTAAATATAATAAATGCTTAGCAAAGATATGGAAGCAATCTAAGTATCCATCAATAGATTAATGGGTAAAGAAGATGTGGTATACACACACACACACACACACACACACACACACACACACACACACAGAGAGAAGAATATTATGCAGCCATAAAAATGGATGAGATCATGCCATCTGTGACAACTAAATGAACCCAAAAGATATTATACTAAATTAAATGAGTCAGACTGAGAAAGTCAAATGCCATATGATTACACTCATATGTGAATCTAAAAACCAATGAATGAACAAACAAAAAGTAGAATAAGACCTGCAAATACAGAGAACAAACTGATGGTTTCCAGAGGAAAGAAAGTAGGGGGATGGGCAAAATGAATGAAGGAGAGAGGGAGATATAGGCTTCCAGTTACAAAATGAGTAAGTCACAGGGATAAAAGGCACAGCATAGAGAATATAGTCAATGATACTGTAATAGTATTGTGACAGATGGTAGCTATGTGGTAAACATTAAGTACAGAGAAGCTGAATCACCATGTTGTACACCTGAAACTAATGTAATGTGGTAGGTCAACTATACTCAGGGGCACCTGGGTGGCTCAGTGACTTAAGCCTCTGACTTTGGCTCAGGTCTTGATCTCACAATTTGTGAGTTCAAGCCTCGTGTCAGGCTCTGTGCTGATAGCTCAGAGCCTGGAGTCGGCTTCAGATTCTGTGTCTCCCTCTCTCTCTGCCCCTCCCCCGCTCATGCTTTCTCTCTCTCTCTCTCTCAAAAATAAATAAACATTAAAAATCAGTGAATCCTTTAAAAGTTTATTTTATTTTATAATTTTAAAATTAGACATTACATACTTTAAAAAAATCTCCACAAGTTAGTTCTAAATATCATAGTCTGTACTCCTCCTGGAATTATTTATTTCTGTCAATGGTTCCTAATGACTGGACAAACTGACATTAACCACAATATAACTGCCATTAAGAGTTAAGGGTGTCCCTCGAGAGCTCTTGGCCCCACAGTGCCCCCCACCTACATTTGCCTTTAATAATCAGTACAATAAAGTAGCATAACAGAATAGGAGAACTGATTGCCAAAATCTTTGAGAGAGTATTCTCACACAGAACTGCCATTTTAAAGCTAATTTATTTTAAAAGGATTGCATGCACATGATTAAAAAATTGACACAGTAAAAAAGAATATTTTAAAGAGAGTATCTTCCCTCCACCTTAGTCCTTTGTTTCCTTTTCTAGAGCCAACCACTGTAAAAATTGCTTTTATCCTTACAGAAATGTTCTTTACACAAGCAGCTTAACTATGTGTATGCTCAGACACAAACACCTATGTTTCTACATATAAGAGAAAACATTTTCTTACACAAACAGGAACATACTGTATCTAGTTCTAAACCTTGCATTCTTAAATTAATAATACAAATGGGTGATTTGTTTCTATATCCACACATGTAAATATATCTTACATTTGAACAGCTACACAGAATTCCTTTAAACTAGTGTGGCAATAAATTATACCAATAGAGGGGTGCCTGGGTGGCTCAGTCAGTTAAGCATCCGAATTCAGCTCAGGTCATGATCTCGTGGTCTGTGAGTTCAAGCCCCGTGTCGGGCTCTGTGCTGACAGCTTAGAGCCTGGAGCCTGCTTTGGATTCTGTGTCTCCCTCTCTCTCTGCCCCTCCCCAGCACTCGCTCGCACGCTCTTTCTCAAAATTAAAAAAAAAAAAAAATACCGAGAGAGTGATCCTGAGCACTTCCTGCATTCCTTAAAAACTGTTTAGAGTTTGGGAATCAATAAGCTTGAGTGAAGTTGGTGTGTAGTTTTGTTGCCATCTATATTAAATGTTGGTATCAGAATTATGCTGATTTAAAAAAAATGCTTTCCTTTTCTTTCTATGCTTGCTGCTATTTACTTTTAAAATACAATCTTTCCTCCTATTTTGCAAAGTTATGATGCTACAAATCAAAACTCTCAATTTATTCCATTTTTCAACAAACGATATAGCTAAACAAAAATTTCTTTTTTATTGATTTGGAAATATATCTTTATTTTATTATTTTTTTATTTTTTTTAACATTTATTTATTATTGAAAGAGAGAGACACAGAGCATGAGCAGGGGAGGGGCAGAGAGAGGGGGAGACACAGAATCCAAAGCAGGCTCCAGGCTCCGAGCTGTCAGCATAGAGCCTGATGTGAGGCTCGAACTCACAAACTGCGAGATCATGACCTGAGCCAAAGTCAGTCACCTAACCAACTGAGCCACCCAGGCACCCCTCTTTAATTTTAAATTTACTTTTTGTAATAGATTGTTTTTGGACATTATTACATCATATTTTATTACCCAAGTAGACAAGAGATGCCTAGCTATAAGCAGAAAAAGTGACCTGAACCCTCAAAATCATGGGTCAAAGATAGTAAAAATTACTATGAAACCAGTGTAGCGACAATTAACCAACAATGGGCAGAATTGGTTAACAGATCCTACACTGTGATTTGAAGATACTTTAATTATGATAATAAATTCTCATTATTCAAGAAGCAGACAGCATTAAAAAGAATAATTATAACAAATCATTAGATGATGCAATTAGTTGTTGACAAGAAAACAATTAGCTGTTAACAAGAAAAAAAGATAAAAGGAAAAGCAAGAATCTGTCCATGATCTCAGTCTTGTCTAGGATACATTGCCCTCATTCTAGTTCATTCTCGGACTTTGGACAATAACAGTTCCAAAAGGAGAACTGGATTCAAAACCATTGATATAATCTTTTGGTAACACCCAAATTACACCCAAACTTTGGTGTGTGTGTGTGTGTGTGTGTGTGTGTGTGTGTGTGTGTTTATTTTAGAGAGTATGCATGAACAAGTTGGAGAGAGGGGCAGAGAGAGCGAAAATCTTAGGCAGGCTCCACTCTCAGTGTGGAGCCTGATGCAGGGCTTGATCCCATGACCCTGAGATCATGATCTGAGCTGAAATCAAGAGTCAGATGCTCAACTGACTGAGCCACCCAGGTGCCCCTGTTTTGTGTTCTTTATATAACCTGTGAACTTAGAATTCATTCTTTTGAGCAAATTTGCCACCAAGAAAAGTTTGCCTCATACAAGCTCTTATTCCTAGTACTCAGGGTAGATCTATTATTCACTGCAAGGGAAAAAATATTGGCGTTCTGGTTTATCAAATCAGTGGCTACAAGTGTCTTGGTGTAGATCAATTCTCAGGGATCACAATTGTGACCCTTCAACAAACACTGAGATAGACTGTCAATGTCAAATACTTGTTGCTCCTCCCTATCAGGCCAATCCCTACTGGTTCTGCTCCTTTAGAAAGATGAGACTTCCCACTCTACTGACAGCCATGTAATGAAACACGAATGGAAGTAACATAGAAGCTTACTTCCAATCAGAAGCTTTAAAAGGCACTGTGGGGTTCCACCAGTCTTCTTTGCCTCTGCCACATCAGCAGTCCCCAAAAGCAGCTCAGCCTCCATTCCAGAGGCAAAGGCCAAAGATAGAGCCCAAAAGGACACAGAATATGAGCAAGAAATCAAACCTTCTTTAAGTCATTTGTTCTTGAATTCTAACATCACCTGGGCTGACATGCATTCACCTATCTAATGAAGGTAAGAAGTGACTGACTACAAACCCTGACAGTTAATAGGGTTACTACTTACTGTTTATGCCCTTCACATGCAAGTTACACTGCTAGTCATTGAAATCTGCTTGAGATAAATTATCAAAGACAGAAGAACAATGAGCTTATATAGTATAACAGTGGTTACCTTTGGAAAGGAAAATGGGTTGGGGATGGAAAAAAGACTTCATTGCACACTCTGTGCCTTTGAAATTGTATACCATGTGCACTTAATATCTAACCAAACATTTAACAAATATTTTCTTTACAAATTTACAAACCATCAAATTTTTGTGGAATTAAATGGAGGTGGAGATTACCTAAGTATTCAGTGGTAAATTGTGATATCTGACATCAAAAAGTTGTAAAAAAAAAAAAAAAAAAAGAGTTTGCCTGGCTAGTTCAGTTGGTAGAGTATTGATTCCCGATCTCAGGGTCATGAGTTCAAGCCCCAAGTTGGGTATAGAACTTACTTAAAAAAAAAAGTTTGTAAAACACTGTGATGATGTCTGAAACACAGTAATATCTGTATTCACAAATGAACTACAATAAATGAATAAATAGAAATGAAAATGAGAACTGCCATCAAGAACTTTATCACAGAAAGCATAATACAGAAGGCATGGGTGCTCCATTGTCAGAAGAAAAGTAAACCTCTCCTTTCCTAGGCACCAGGAAGTACACACTTACGGGGACTCAGAGCGGGCAAGAGAAAGGTTAGACTGAGGTTGGCTTCTGCTCCTCTCAGAGGAAATAGGGCAGATATGTGGAGAGGTGTTATGTGCAAAAAACATGCTCTCCATCCCTGCTCACACTCCCACCCCCTCTACCCTTCTCTCTCTCTCTCTCTCTCTCTTTCACACACACACACACCCCACCACACCACACCAACTACCCCTCCAAAAGCTGGGCAAAGCCAGTAAAGAGACATATGACCCTCAACCTTGCAAAAGGCTGTTTGGACCTCAACTGTTAAGAACAAAAAGATACACAGATATTTTTGCTTAAAGGAGGAGCCAGGTGTCCAAACAGTTTAACAGAAAGTTTGGTGCCCCTGGGTGGTCATGCATGCCAAGAGGATTCTCATGCTTTAAGAGTTTGTTTTTTAGAGTAAGATTTACTGAAATAATGGAGTTTGTTCTGGGCAATGTGTTAAGGAAGGTATCCTTCTAAAATTTTTACTTTCATCCCTCCTCAACTCAATAGGATTATTAATAATCTCAAGACAAAGTATGTCTCTGCCTTGTTGCAAGTAGCCTTTGATCAAAGGCTTTCTCCCTGACCAACACCCAACACTGAGCTTATTAATAAGGAGGGAAGAGAAACTTGAAGCACAGCAAAAGGCACAGTAATCCTGCCGCCAAACCTCCCTCACGGGTCATCACCCCCGCAGTGTGGCTTTGAAGACATCTGTGAACAACAGTGTTCAGCAGAATCAATTTCCACTAAAGTAATAGGTTTGGCAAAGGAGTTGTGAATAGCAAAAAGAGCAAGAGAAAAACCTTAAGGAAAAACACTTTCTTTTCAGAGACCTTGTCTTCCTTCTCCCACTCAGCCTCACTAATCTGTACCCAATCAAATTTGCAGACTCCACCTCCAAATTTGGTGGCTGTGGACAGCCGCTACGAGGTACAGCGTCGGTTCTGGCTTCCGGAGGATTGGGGAAATTCCTCCTTTCAACCTGAAAGCTAGGGAAAGTCCCAGAAAACAGCCGATTACTCTGTTTTCCTAATGAACCACTGAAGCAAGTAAGGCAGGTCCCGAAGAACCCTCAGCAGAGAACTCAGAGCCCCGGGGAGCCCGGGACCCCGCAGAAAGGTCTCCGCCAACGAGAGGGGAGGGGTTCACGCATAATTTCTCTCTGAGCTACACTTGATAAATTCTTTTTTGTTTTCTGATGGGGGGGAGGGGACCTTGCAAAGCACAGAAAAGTGTATTAAAAAAAAAAAAATCCCATCTCCAGTATTTCATCTTCAGTATTCCTCCTCTCATTTACAAACATCCCTGTGTCATAAAGCTGGGACCATGCCGTATATAATTAATTGAGCGTGCCCGTACGCTGAGCTGGGAGGAGCGGGTGTGACTTTCGACAGGGCACCCCGAAAGACTCCTTGACAAAGCCTCCCTCTTGGGGCGAGAAACAGACCAGACACAGTCCCCACCTCACCCCCAGGCTACAGCCCGCCAAGTACCTTGGGGCCCGAGGGTCGGAAACCGTCCCAGAGCGGCTTCGCTTTCCCGGCTCTGCCGAAGACTAACGGAGGCCACCCCGCGGAGGTTCGAGTTGGGGGACGGTCACCGCCCACCGCCCACTGCCCGTAACCACACTGGGAGAGGGCGCCAACCCGCCGCCCCGCAGCTGCTCGGGGAGGGAGGAGGCGGGGCCGAGCCGGGGGGAGGAGGGGCGCACACGCGGACGGCCCCGGATCCTCCCGCGCGCGCCTCCTCTGCTCCCGCTCCGCGCGAAGTGCGCCCGCTACCCACCTCCCCGAAGCCTTTACGGAGTCTCGACAGCAGGAGCCGGTTCCCAGCCTTGGCCCCGCCCGCGCCCGCCTCCTCCTGTCTCCGCCGGACGACTGCGGCTGCTGACGCTACGTCCAGACCAGAAGGCCAGCCCCCTCACCCCTTTTCGGAGTTCCCAGGACCGGTTTGAGGCTCCGTCCACTGGTGCGGACCGCACCTCCCGAAACGCGTTGGCCCCTCCAAAGAGGATGTGGCTAAGTGAGCTAGATTTTGAAAAGGGAAAAGAATCACTTCCCCATTAAAGGGCCACTCTCTCCAAGAGTTGGCCTCGGACGGGGTAGGGATAGGAGGAGAGTTGCACTAATTTACTAAACAAGACAGGTGAACGGCTTGTATTATCTCCTTTAATCCTCACAGTCGGGAGACTAGGACCCCCTTACAGACGGATAAACTGCGCCCCTGCCAGTGGTTAAGTGTCACGTTGAGCAAGAGCACAGACAGGATTTGAACCTGCCACAGAGCCCATAATCAACCTGCGGCTACCTGTGATGCCCTGACCTTACACTTGACCAGTCCAGGAGCTTCCTCTCCCACCTGGGGATCCACCAAAAGGGATCCCTCACTCAACATCCAGGCTCTGGGGTTCCACGACTAAAAGCTGGTACATGATGCAAGGAAAAACACTTAAACTCCCACGAGTCCTTTATAGCCTTGGATGAATAAGATAATAGTTTTTTTCCTGCCTCAGGGAAAAAGGTTTGGAAGGGAAAAAAGTGGAGAGAACCTGAAGACAACAGGTGTCTAGAGCGGGGTAGGAGTGAGACTCTATATAAGGAGTAAAAGACTGAGAAGGAGGGAAGACCAAGCTTGCAGTGACTGAGGAGGTCAGACTGGCCCACTTACTTCAGAGTTTGGGAATCTACCCACCAACTCGGGTAGGTGTCAGATGGAAGACGCTCCTCTGGATTCTGTCCTGGGCTTGCAGGAGAGTTGTTCCTTCGCAGGTCAGTTTCACTGGCAATAAAATGACGCTGATACTTGGAGCTTCCCCATCTGATAAAAGTTCTGTGAGAGGGGTTAAGTTTTGACGTCTCTGAGTTACTTACGTATAATAAGGAACCATAAACACAGGGAAGGAAAAGTACAACTACAAATGTGGCAGATTCCTGTAAGGCTGCAATTTTGTTCGTTAATCATCAACATTTATTATTTCTTCTCTGAAGTGGAGATAGCCAGAGTATCTTCTTTCAGGTGAAGAACATTAGACCATGTGGACGGTAAGATATGCAATCTGACTATACCAATAAACATACACAGTAAAAATATTTTAGTAGAGTTTCTGATATTCACTCTTTAAAGTTAAGCAAGATTTGAAAATTCTGTGTAAGCTGCAAAGGACTAGTGTAATAGATGTTATTAATAACACTAGTAAAGAAAATGCAACAACTGCTAAAATTTATGATGCTGAATATTATTTCGTTTTTCTGTTCCCTTTAAGTATTCCTAGGCTACCAGTTGAGGAAGAGATTAAGAGGAACCATTCAGGGGCGCCTGGGTGGCTCAGTCAGTTGGGTGCCTGACTTCGGCTTAGGTCATGATCTCACAGTTTGTGGGTTCAAGCCCCGCATTGGGCTCTGTGCTGACAGCTTGGAGCCTGGAGCCTGCTTCACATTCTGTGTCTCCCTCCCTCACTGCCCCTCCCCTGCTCATGCTCTGTCTCTCTCTCAAGAATACATAAACAAAAAAAAAAAGAGAGAGAGAGAGAGAGAGAGAGAGAAACCCTTCAGAGAAATGGATACCCCAAAAGTCCGGCTGGAATTGTTTATCAAGGCAAAACGGAAGAAAACAGTAGGCAGGTATGTTATTGATATTTTAAAAAGAGGGATTTACTGTTTGAATTATCACTGATGAATCATTTAATGTGAAAATAACATAAAATGCCCACAATCTATTTTTCCATGAATAGAATATTAAAAATAGGTTTTAGATACTTTCACTACCCCCTAATTAAGCAGATGTACCTGAGCCTATTGTATTTCATTTAAAACTAGAGGAAGCTAATTTATGGTAATACGATCACCCCTTATAGAAAAAAGAAAGTGTTGCTCGTTTGTGTTGCTTGCTGGGAATTGGGTTATATGATACCCACCTTCTGTCCGGTGCACTCTAAACCCCTTGGATACACACTCATCTAACTCTCCACTCCCAAACTCAGATGCTCAGATTTGGGGTAACTCAGTTGTAACTCAGTTCGGGAGTGCCCCACCTCACGGCTGATGCTTTCTACCAACCTTTGAAAATACTCCGAATTACCTGAGATACCTCACTCAACTCTTTTTTCATTATTCTCTGAATGGAAGACAAGCAGAAACCCAAAGACTTGGGACTGGAACAAAGGAAAGCTAGCCTGGACTTCCTCTTCCTCCTCCCTATTCTTGGAGTCAAGTGACTACAATTAAAATGAGCCACTTAGATTTATGTGGAGAGATCTGCCAGACACATTACTAATGGAAAAACCAAGTGCTAAACAAAAATGTTGCCGTTTGTGGGAAAAAAAAAAAAAACAAAACCCTGTCTGTAAATGCATGAACTTTCTGCAAAGAAATCCGAGAAATAGAACTGATAATACTGATTAACCTGAGAAAAAGAAATTGGGAGAGAGGAGGCAGAAGGTCCACATGGGGAGATATTTTTTATTGTGCACTTTTTCATACTGTTTGGATTTTGTGTCATTTGCATGCATTGTGGTTACACACCAAAAAAAAAAACCCCAGCTTTTTAAAGAAGGGCCAAGTAAGAGAAGTCTCCCGAGAGACAGATTCAATGCTCTAATGCCTCAATATTTCTCATAAGGTGGAGGACTGCAATAGAATTCAGGCTCCCGAGAGAGTGGTCAGATGGTGAGGTAAAAATTAGAGCCCACAAAGGCAGGGCAGCTGAGGGTGGAGGAAGGGGAGGAGTGGGCCTGGTTAGGGCCATCTGCTCTGCCCCTCCCTGGAGGCAGTTGTGGGTAGTTCTGTGGTAAAGCAGAATTCTAAGATGGCGCCCAAGATTCCCACTCACTGGGGTACACAATTTATATAACCTCCTCCCCTTGAGTGTGGGCAGAACCTGTGAATATGATGGGCTGTCACCCCTATGACTAGGTTTCTAATCAGTTGTCTTCAAGTTAATCCAAAGGAAAGTTATCTAGCTGGGCTGGACCTAATCACATGAATCCTTGAAAGGGATGGATCACTTTTAAGGAGCACAGAGACACATACCCCTGTTGGCCTGGAAGCAAATAACCAAGCTAGGAGCTGCCTATGGAGACCACATGGCAAGGAACTACAGATGGTATCTGGGAGGTCAGAGTGGTCCCCAGCCAACAGCTAGCAAGAAAATGGGACCTCAGTCATACAACTAGAATTCTACCAACAATCTGAGCGTTGAAGGAGACCCCAAGCATCAGATTAGATCTGCAGCATTCTCAATGATAATGTGCCCAGACTTCTGACTGACAGAAACATAGAAATAATAAATGGGTGCTGGGTTTTTTGTTTCTGTATATCATAGAACCTTTATTATTTTTCCCCCTCAATTCTTAAGTCTTATATAACATCCATGTTCTAAGTATGATACCATTTATAGACAGTTTTTAATGTTTATTATTTTTTTTAATGTTTATTTATTTTTGAGAGAGAAAGACAGACAGACTACAAGCAGGGGAGGGGCAGAGAGAGGAGACACAGAATCCAAAGCAGACTCCAGGCTCTGAGCTGTCAGCACAGAGCCCAACATGGGGCTTAAACCCACAGACTGTGAGATCATGACCTGAGCCGAAGTCAGGCACTTAACTGACCCAGGTGCCCCTAGACATTTGTTTATTTCATTTCATTTCATTTCATTTCATTTCATTTCATTTCATTTCATTTCATTTCATTTCATTCCATTCCATTCCATTCCATTCCATTCCATTTCATTTCATTTCATTTCATTTCAAGAAAGAGAGTGAGTGTGTGAGCCGGGAGAGGGGCAGAGGGAGAGAGAGAGAGAGAGAGAGAGAGAGAGAGAATCTTAAGCAGGCTCCACAAAGAGCCTGACACAGGGCTCCATCCCATGACCCTGGGATTGTGATCTGAGCCAAAATCAAGAGTCAGACACTCAATCAACTAAGCCCAGGCACCCCACCATTTATATACATTTAAAATGCATCTTCATTTACAAATATTTTACATTTGGTCTATAGAACAGATAATTTAATGGCTGTTCTTTTAAACTGCTAAATTTGTGGTAATTTTGTATGCAACAATAGAACAATAATATAGGTTTTTTTGTTAGAGGATCCCTGTGGATTATGAAAGTCCCCAGTAATCCTGATCCTAATAACCCAATATGAGAGCTATAGACTATGTAAGCAGGAAAAGAAGGGCCAGTTTTGCGGGAGGTGCATTATTTCTACCGGTCACATAACCTCCAAACCAGGTAACTTCATCTTGCCCTTGTTGAATCTAAACTGTGTCATCTAGTACTCCTCACTGGTGTAATTTTTAGTAAAAAAGAAAACAAAACCCAGAAACCTTCCCTCTCCTTTAATATTTTATTTTTACATTTCATTTGTGTTTCTTCGTTAATTTTTAAAATCAATTTCAAAAAATTTTAAAGCTATCTTTGACCTATTTGCCAAGTCAGTGGACACTTTTCTAATCTTATCTTTCATCATTTCTCTGCATCGTTTAGTACTGTTGACTACTCCCGCCTTGAAATACGGAGCCCTAACATGAGTTTGTCTGTTTATAATAGATGAAAAACGTCATGTTATTTCTTAGTGACATTCTCTTTCCTTGGCTTTCAGAGGACTGACTCTCTATTTTGACTTGGTCCACATAAGAGGTTTCCTTGCACGTTGTTTAAAAGAAGTAACTTCCCT